GGGCTAAAAAACCGAGTGCAAAACTAGCAGGAAATTCGACGCGATTCCTTGTCTTCATAGGGGTACAGGGAGACACTGCACTTTCAACATTCCTTCGGTCTCTTTCAAAGATGTTACGAACTCTTGAAAGCACTTCTTCAAGCGCTCCATCCTGCTGGTGGTATGATCCTTGGCCCTGAGGTGGACAACAGTCTCGGGCAAGAGCGAGGATCATACCACCAGCAGAAAGAACTTGGTAAGATCGCTTGGGGAGAGGAAATCCGGGTTCAGACTGAACGCCAAAAGTTAGTAACTGACGGCCGACTTACACTAGTTCGACTCCACTGACCATGAGATCAGTTCATTGAGCTGATTCGCACGATATTCAAGAATGACGGGTTAACCATCACGTCAGATGACAAAACTCGCCCCAAGGGTTACTTCATGGATGATTGCAGTCCGGTCAAGATGGCGCTCATTACTGGCGCTTTCTAAGGTAAGGCGATACCAGAACGCCTCAAACCGAAGATCTGTGGAGCGATCTTATCACCACTAGCACTATACAGGAGTACAAGAGGGCTGGCCTGCAATTATAGGTGCAAATCTGTCTTATAGTTAGGGCCATGGAGATGGTCATGAAGATGCTATGCTGGACGATCGGTTACACAGGTTTGGATATCTTTCAACGCTCCCATGCGGTGTAGATCCTGTAGCAGGTTAAAATCTATGGCCATGGGCGTGTGCGAATGCTAAGCTGGAACTATCCGAAAAGCTGAACGCTCAATAAGGTCAGCACAGGTAGAAGAAGGCTTCCCGCGAATAGAGTGGTGCTCGGATAGGTTTCTCGGAGCATATAGTGTGCGTCAGTGGTACAGGTGCTGTAGTGGCAGGCGGCACGCGAGGGTGAATTCTGTACCGGCTTTCACCTAGGCCAACCAAGCTCCAGAGGCACGGAATCGCTACTGAGCTAGTGATCGAGTACACTGACTCGCACATGGGCTGGGCTCTGCAAATCATTGTAGAGAGTGCATCGCCTTTCACAAAACTGATTGAAATTCGGGAATGTGTAGAATGCGGTCGATTCCAAATAAAGGACTTGAACGGCGCAGAGGTTCATTCTTTTCACGTGTGTTCAGTAGCGATGCATTGCACCTCACTTCTGGACATCGCCTACTCTGTCAGCGTTCTTACCACAACGTTAAACATGTGATAGTTGGAAGGCTACGGCATGAAAGTCGCCAAGCTGAAAGGGTAAGAGCAGCCCTGGTGGCGTACCTAGCGTACTCGCCCGTAAGAGCGCGAAGGCGCGGATCGTGCGGCCGAGCGGCGTGGGTGTGTTCGGCGGGTTCGAGCCCCGTCTAGGGTCGAACTTTTGTCCATAACTCAGCATTCTTGGGCCTATTCTAATCAGACAAAGAGCGACGACGCAATGGCAGCGTCAAGGTGCCTATCCCTTAACCCTCGTACATATACTCGAAATCCCTGAGATCGGGTAGGCGTGGCTGCATGCTTCAACTTAACCTGAAGGAGTCTATGCTTCTGGTGAGATATTTTCATCTTGACACAATTGTTGTCGTGTCTCTGTCCAACACAGAACAAGATGACAGTTGTCCCAGACTGGAATATTCCACGAGTAACCAGTTCCGTGCCATGTTCAAATGCCACGCCTACTCTGGCTCAGGGATAAGGAGTGTAGTTGCGTTCGGATACACTTCCAACCATAGAGCGTGGAGGGTGTTCCATTTCGACTTTCTGCTGATTGGCCTTCCACGGCGTGTGCCTCTCTCATATACTTCTTCGTGAAGCCTTTACAGTTCTTTCCAACGTTTCGCACCTGTCCGGATATCCGGATCCCGACAGAACACGATTTTGGTGGATTTGAACAGTGCGTGGACAGAAATTGGTTGACACCCCAAGCATTCAGTTGGGAGAGGTGGCCCATAGGAGAAGGGCAGACCTCTATACCGAGTGGGACAAACGCAATAGAAGAAGGAGGAGTTTTACTGTTTGTTTTGAACTGTTTTGAAGCTGCCATAGAAGGTCAAACAGCTGGCACATGAAGTTTCCCCAAGTCAAATAAGAAAACCAGGAGCGTACTCTCTATTGCACTAATGCGTATTAATCTTCAATGTTTGAATACTTTACTATAACTTTCGATGAAAGGAGTAACACCTTTGATGCCACCTTGAAAGTGACAGAAGATTTTCCTCTTTTCGAATGAAAGCGATTTGATGTACATGACCTTTCCCATAAATAGCGCAGGTCAGGTGACCTTCCGACTGTTCTTTTGGTCGCGTAAGCCTGTCGTCGAATTAACACCATTAAAGTGGACAAGTCGCCGAATTGCTTTAACGGCTTTACGTGAGTTTAATTCGATGGACTGTGAAGATGCGATGCGGCGCAGTTTTTGGTCAAGGACAAGCGGCACACTTACCTGCGAGGAGGATCCGTGCCATGTGCGAGGTGAACGAGTTCACAACTGTAGAAACATGCCGCCTCTGTCATTCGAAAGATCGCAGGGTGAAAGGCGGTTGCCGTTTGGGTCTCCAGAAGACGCCCAGAACGTGCAACTTGTTGTGCATTGATGCTGAAGTCCTGAAGTGAGCAACATGAACGGCAAGCTGTCGATCTCGGTCGAGTGTAAATAAAAAAACGGTCCCCGAACCAAATGAAAGAGGTGCAGACACTGGCTAGGCTATAGCTGGTGGTACGCTGTGTTACGTCTTCGGTAAAGCCCCGAACGGCATTGAGCTATCAGTGCTCTCCTGCCTCACTTATGCGGACTTTCTAGTGACGAAAGTGGCGCAATTCTGCCGCTGTGGACTCAATCACCTCCACAGGGCGATAAGCAGGACCTTTGAAGGTGGGTGTACAGCGCATCCCTGACGACACATTCCAGGTTATGGAAATCATTGCCACTGCTCCATCCTTACTGGCGCGCCATTCTCCTCATGACAGGAAAGGAGAGGCTAGCCATGAGGAAAGCATTGTTTCGAGTCTCCGCCCACACGACCATCGCGAGCTGTACTCATATGGTCTACTAGCAAGTCTGAGGTTGTGGTAGCAACAACAGTTGAAAATGTGATTTATTTGAGATTCTCGATAGAACAAAACTCTGTTCAACAATAAAAAAATCTGTACAATTGAAGCTTCAGCCTTTAAGCCTTGGTTCGGGCTGCCATCCTTCTCGACAATTTGTTCTTTTGCATGCGTTGCTTGTAGGGTGACGTTTGAGAGTATCCTCCAGCTGTAAAAAGAATAACATTAACGTCTTACAGTATCCTGCAGAAGGAACATAGTTCTTCAAAGCTACAAAGTGCCACTCACATGATGGTGGAGCGACTCCACCGTAACTGCCTCCACCAGATGGTGGTGAAGGAGGACTAGGAGGCATAGGCATAGGTGCAGGAGGAGGGGGAGGCATGCAGGTGATGACGCTGTAACCCGCTGATATGGTTGGGGGTTTTGGTAGCCTCCTGATGGTGGCATTGGTGGCATTGGTGGCTGGTACCCTCCTGATGGTGGTTGGGGTTTTTGGTAACCTCCTGATGGTGGCATTGGTGGCTAGTGATTTGGTAACTCCTGATGGTGGCTAATTGTGCATTTGGTGGAGGATTTGTAGCCTCCTGCTGGTGGCGGTGCATTTGCTGGGTTTTTGGTAGCCTCCTGATGTCTATGGTGAATGTGGTGGACCCTCCTGATGGTGGTTGGTTTTTGTAACCTCTGATGGTCAATTGTGGTGCATAGTGCTGTTGATGGTTTGGTATCCTCCTGCGGGTCGCCATTTGGCATATGGATGGCTGTTTGTTATTGCGTAGCCTCCGTGATAGCTGCATTTGAGTGGCATGGTGGTTGGGTGTTTTCAGTAGCTCCTTGATGTTAGCATGGTGGCATTGTGCATTGGCGCTGGAGTTTTTGGTAACTCCTGATAGGTGCATGTTCGCATCCTATGGCTGTGCGTTTGCTAGCCTCCTGCTGGTGCATTGCTGCATGGTGTGCTTGTTTTGGTAGACCTCCTGATGTGCGATTGGTGGCATTGGGCTGAATACCCTCCTGATGTGTTGGCAGTTTTTGGAACCTCCTGATGTGCTATGGGGCGGTGGATTTTTGAAACTCCTGCATTGGTGGCATTGGTGGCATTGGTGGCTGTGGTTTTTGGTAGCCTCCTGATGGTGGCATTGGTGGCATTGGTGGCATTGGTGGCTGTGGTTTTTGGTAGCCTCCTGATGGTGGCATTGGTGGCATTGGTGGCATTGGTGGCTGTGGTTTTTGGTAGCCTCCTGATGGTGGCATTGGTGGCATTGGTGGCATTGGTGGCTGTGGTTTTTGGTAGCCTCCTGATGGTGGCATTGGTGGCTGTGGGTTTTGGTAGCCTCCTGATGGTGGCATTGGTGGCATTGGTGGCTGTGGTTTTTGGTAGCCTCCTGATGGTGGCATTGGTGGCATTGGTGGCTGTGGTTTTTGGTAGCCTCCTGATGGTGGCATTGGTGGCTGTGGTTTTTGGTAGCCTCCTGATGGTGGCATTGGTGGCATTGGTGGCTGTGGTTTTTGGTAGCCTCCTGATGGTGGCATTGGTGGCATTGGTGGCTGGTACCCTCCTGATGGTGGCTGGGGTTTCTGGTAGCCTCCTGATGGTGGCATCGGTGGGGGTGGCATGGGTGGTGGTGCCACTGGACCGGTTGCGTAGCCTGAAAATAAGTTTTTATACAATTTTAAGGAAGATGCGTGAATCTGATGCTTTCAACTAACCACCACTGCTGCCACCACCATAGCTGCCTCCTCCCATTCCACCGCCTGAGTAGCTGCCTCCTCCCATGCCGCCACCGCCATAGCTGCCTCCTCCCATTCCACCGCCAGAGTAGCTACCTCCTCCGGTACTTCCACCAGCATAGCTTCCTCCGCTAGGAGGAGACGCGTAGCTGCCGCCACCACCTAGAAAACGATTCTTTCAATTGACTTGTGGAGGTTTTAAAAACTACACATTCGAAGGCTGTAGTAGAGATTTCAACAATGGCTCACCTCCGCCTCCTCCTCCGCCACCACCGCTGTAGCTGCCTCCTCCCATTCCACCACCGCCGTAGCTGCCTTCCTCCTTTTGAGCCACCGGCATAACTGCCGCCGCCTAGAATTTGACTCTCGTAGCTGTCTTATAAGGCTGTGGGAAACTATGACTCTGGAAAATGCAATGGAACTTTCGACGAGAACTCACCTCCTCCCATTCCGCC